AAAGGAATCACTCCTAGGAGGACTTGCTTTTTTCACACAGAGACTGGGATGGGCAGAGGCACTCGGGCCCATGTGATCATGCGGAGAAGCAGACAGGCACTGTTAGATCTGCTCACATGCCTGATCCCTTGGGTCTTGGAGGGAGATGGAGGGCCCCCCACCTCCCAGAAGGGCCTGGCACAGCTTTTAAGCGAGCCATGAAGATGCCAGACTTTCTGTGGAAGTTTATAACCCTGAAACAGAGCAGGCTACATTGGAGCAAAGAAGCCAGAAAGGGAGTCAATGCGATGAGAGAAAGAAAGCTGGTCCAGAAACACAAATGCCCAGAGCCTGTCAAGGTGCTTTTAAGAGCGGGACAGCCAGGCTGGACTCAGGGTGTCCCCTGCCTGTGGGTGGGTGAGGCCCTGTTTCTGGGTGTGCCCCTCATTTCCTGTCTCCACATGTTGAGTGACTGTGAAACAGCGGCTGCTGTTTGATGAGTAACTGTGGCTGACTATGAAGGTTGCTTTGGTTTGGAAACTTCTCTGCACACCTGTGGGGCGGGGAAGTATGTTTGCCCAGCATTTGGTGGGATTGCTGGGGTCAGGATGGCCAGGCCTTGTTCACAGCCGTGATCGATGACCCTGATTTCAGTTGCTGGTGGAGTGGCTGAAACGTGGGGAGGTGAGGAGGGTACCCCTCCAGACCCTCCTTCCGGGGCTTCCCCAGGACGGGCTGATGGGCAGGCAAGTGCTGCTGGTCTTAGCTGAACTTGGCTCCCTTTTGCTCCTTTGCTGCCTTTGATGAAGTCTGTACCCCAGGTGTCCACACCCCTAAACTAAAGGAATCACTCCTAGGAGGACTTGCTTTTTTCACACAGAGACTGGGATGGGCAGAGGCACTCGGGCCCATGTGATCATGCGGAGAAGCAGACAGGCACTGTTAGATCTGCTCACATGCCTGATCCCTTGGGTCTCGGAGGGAGATGGAGGGCCCCCCACCTCCCAGAAGGGCCTGGCACAGCTTTTAAGCCAGCCGTGAAGATGCCAGACTTTCTGTGGAAGTTTATAACCCTGAAACAGAGCAGGCTACATTGGAGCAAAGAAGCCAGAAAGGGGGTCAATGCGATGAGAGAAAGAAAGCTGGTCCAGAAACACAAATGCCCAGAGCCTGTCAAGGTGCTTTTAAGAGCGGGACAGCCAGGCTGGACTCAGGGTGTCCCCTGCCTGTGGGTGGGTGAGGCCCTGTTTCTGGGTGTGCCCCTCATTTCCTGTCTCCACATGTTGAGTGACTGTGAAACAGCGGCTGCTGTGACTCAGCTTTATAAATAGGACATCTGCAGTGAAGGTGGTAGGAAATTCCCGGAGTCTTCTGCCTGGACTGATCTTAGGTGTGAAGTTTATTCGAGTGGAGCCCCAGACCCCCTCCCTCAGCCTGCACCACCCACCCCACCCCACCTCCCATCACAGCATCCCAGAGCATCTGGAGGCCCATCTCTCCTGCCGTGTGGCTGGAAACCTCCCAGAGTGGTCCGAGAGGCACCAGGGATGGAGCCATCCACCTCTGACCTTGTCCAGATGTTCCTGGGGAAAACAGTGGACCCTCACCTCCGACTCTCTCATGCCCCACTGTGAGTTATCACATGGACCCTCACTCCCGGGAGGAAGGTGCATTATGATTCTCCTTCGGTAGATGGAGAGTCCAGACTCCAAACCCACGTCTGACTCATTCTGGATCTCAAGGGTTAGCCACAGACTCAAGTTCTCCTGAACAGAGAATAAGAGTGAGAAAGGATCAGAGTGAGGAAAGGGGAGCCCTCTGTTTTCTGGAGAGAGAGAGGGGAGAGGCTGCCTGGACCCCAGGCCTCCAGTTATCTTTCCCTTTCCTTCCTTCTCACAGTGACACGTTTCTAGACTGGTGGCTGTTTCCCGAAAGCCAGACTTGAGGTTTGGGTGACTCGGTTTCCCCTGCTGAGGCTGGGTTTGAAGGAGAGGCTGAACCCATTGCCTATAGAGAGCAGGAGGCCCTGTAGGTGGGGGGACCCTGCAGGTTAGGACTGAAGTGCTGTCCATCCATTTGCCCAGCAACTCCCAGGATGCGTTGGCACAGGTAGCTGAGGCAGCCTCCAAGGAGTCACTGCTGACGGAGGCACTAAACGGAAACACCGATGCAATGCCTTTCAATGGCTCCAGCCTCCACTCCTTCACAATGAGCCAGGGTCTTTATTACCAGTCTGTGGTGAACTACCCCCTGTGGTTGAGAAGAATTCTCCCACCCTTTTCTGTACTTCATGATGCTAATATTTTTATGGCATATTCCTTGATTTGGATTGGTTTTTCCTCATGACTAGAATCAAGCTATGTTTTTTCAAAAGAAAAAAGCTGTGGGTTTTGTTCTTCTCAGGGTGTTACATTAAGGACACACTTTTGAACTATGGTGTTGGAGAAGACGCTTGAGAGTCCCTTGGACTGCAAGGAGATCCAACCAGTCAATCCTAAAGGAAATCAGTCCTGGATATTCATTGGAAGGAAGGACTAAGGATGAGATGGTTGGATGAGATGGTTGAATGGCATCACCAACTCGATGGACACGAGTTTGAGCAAGCTCTGGGAGGTGGTGATGGACAGGGAGGCCTGGCGTGCTGCAGTCCATGGGGTTGCAAAGAGTCGGACACGACTGAGTGGCTGAACTGAACTGAACACGATGTCAAGTTGTCCCATTACTGGTTGTGTCATTTATCCTCTTGTAAATGTGGTATCAGCCAGATTCTTTATTATAAAGCTACCATTTTCTTTCTATTCGTGGGAATGACTAAATAAATACACATCTTAATGGGGTTTCCTGACCCCCAGTTCCTCCCATAGGTCAGTGTAAAGAGGGCCAGGTGGTTCCTGAGCCTGCAGTGGGTTGCGTTACAGGGGAGGAACTTTGCAGTTAGGGAATCCAAGTATTTTATGATGGTCCCTAGGTCCTGACTTCTTCTGCAAGAGGAAACCTTATTCTTATTACACTGGACACTCAGCACTCCTGTACTTTGTTCTGTGGGGAGACACAGTCTCTCTCTAAGACTATTCGCTCTACGAACATCTTTGTGAAGAGAGTCCAGAAGGAAGGCAGCCGGTGCCTCTGCTTATGGGACACCCACAAATGTGAGAGACCCAGGGAGAGTGTTCTCCTGACACATCTGTGAAAATTATCTTCCCACACAATCATGTTTTTCCCATGCTGTGGCTGGTTGTTCCCTGATATCCAGTCTCTGCATCTCCAGTCCTGGAACCTCACTTCCTACAACGGCTGAGCACATGGCTTTTCAGAATGACGTCTGTATTTCTCATCTTCTCATGCAGCCAGGTGTGGCCGAGTGACTAAGTTTGAGCAACAGGCTTTAAGTGTAGCGTGTCACTTCTGAAAAGTGCCCTTCAAAGGAGGGAACATGCTGTTTCCTTCTCTTTACTCCTCTTCCATGGCGCCTCCTAACCCTCTCCTCTGCCTTTTTTTTTCTTCACAGCACATACAACCATTGACACACTGTTTATTTTCCTTATTTTGTACATTGTCTGCCTCTTCTGTAATGTTCTCTCCATGAGCAGTACTGGGCCATCACAGTCTACTTGTTCCAGTTGTTAAATAGACTGAAATATTTCTGTACCAAGTGGTGACTAGCCACTGCCCCAAGTTCCCATGTACCCTCGCCCCACCACTCCAGGGCGCCTCCCTGATACCCGACAGCCTTAGTCTGTTCAGGCTGACCTCACAAAATCCTGTAAACTGGGAGGTCTAAGAACAGAAATTAATTTTCTCACAGTTCTGGAGCACTGAGAAGTCCAATATCATAGTGCTGGCCAAGTCAGTGCTTGGAGGGGGACTCTGGAAAGAGTACTCTTCCGGGCTTGCAGAAAGCCGCCTTCTTGTACACACACCCCCACACACACCCCCACACACACACCCACAGAGGGAGGAACTGAGGGAGAGAAGGAGGAAGAGGGAGGGAATCCTCCAGTGTCTTCCTCAACCCCAGCCAGGGACTGAACCAGGGCTGTGGCAGTGGAAGCACTGAGTCCTAACCACTGGACCACCAGGGAGTTTCCTCCAGTGTCTTTTCTTATAAGAGCACTAATTTCATCAGACTAAGGCCCCACCTTCGTGTCCTAGCACATGCCTGCTAAGTCACTTCAGTCATGTCCAACCCTTTGTGACCCCATGGACTGTAGCCCACCGGGTTCCTCTGTCTGTGGGGATTGTCCAGGCCAGAATACTGGAGTGGGTTGCCATGCCCTCCCCCAAGGGATCTTCCTGACCCAGGAATCGAACCCAGGGATTGAACTGGCATCTTATGTCTCTTGCAGTGGCAGGCATGCTCTTTACCACTCGTGCCACCTGGGACGCCCCCCTCGTGTCCTCATCTAAGCCTAATTACCACCCAAAGGTCCCGTCTCCAAACACCATCACACATGAAGTTAGGGCCTCAACATATAAATTTGGGGAAAACACAGACATTTGGTTCATAACACCAAATAAGCAGGCATCAGCTCATGCAGTAGGGGGCTTCCACGTCCTGCTTATGCACTAGGGCCAGTGACTTCCTGGTTAAGCAGTGCCCAGGCTACACCCTGATGTGCTTCAAAAGGACCTCCTGCTTGATGCATGCTAGATTCTAGGATGACTCCAAGCCTCTCCATTGTCCATATTGAACTCAAGAGGAGCTGGGGTCAGATTTTTAATAAATGAAAATTGGGGGAAATATCGAGCAGCCTTGTTCTGCTCTTTTTAAAACAAAGGACTTCTTAGTACATTTTCTCAAGTCCTTCCAGCTTTCTTCCCAGGTGAAGAGAGGGTGACTGAACAGAAACAGAGAAAGGGAATCACTCTTTTTTTTTCCCTTGAGATAAGGGATTGCCAGAACCTTCCTTATGTCCATGCGAGGAGTCAGAGAAGGCAGAAGAGGCAATGGCAAGTAAGAGGCCGGGGAGGGAAATCAGGCCCATCAGTCAGCTCAGAGCCATGAACATTTTCCCACTCACCTTGCCTCCCTGGAGTCCCCTCTGTGCGAATGATTGCTTTAAAGGCGTGCATGGATTACACTAAGAAATGTGTAAGCTCTGTGTCTCAAGCAGTTTCTTCAATGTGATGTGAAGACATCAGAGGACAATAGGTGTGATGTCCTCGGGACAGGAGGAGCAGGGCAGGATGACCCGAGGAGGTGAGCTGTGAGCTGAGACCTGAAGGATGAGAAAGAACCACCCATGGAAAGCGCGGTCTGGGCAGTGGCCCAGAGAACCTCAGAGGCCGAGTTGACTATGTAATCTGCTAAACCCAGTACAGACAAAAATGCAGGCCCCCAGCCAGGGGTAGGGCAGTCTCCCCTCCCCCGCCCACAACAGACGGGGAGGGGGGGGCTCCCCAAAGAACTGCAGCCTCTGTCCCAGGACAGGATGGACACCTGGATCCAGTGATTTCAAGAGCTGTGGGGCTGCCAGCCTGGGCGGAAATGACATCACATCAGGTGTCTGTCTCCAACCCTCCTACAGCCCTGCCCAGGGTGAAGGGCGCCAGCAGAATGTGGGCCTGCCAGTGTTCCCGATCACAGCTCCTGGCAGAGGGAGGCCGTGGCCATAGGCAGGAAGGGGAGGGCAGGTGGGACGGGGGTCCAGGGAGCAGGGAGGCGGCAGGACCAGAGGAGAACTGAGGCTCTAAGGCCGGTGCAGATGGTGTGCTCCGTTGTCCCATCTAACTTCACTTGTTAAACAAATTCTGAGATAATTACTGGGAGTTCCCTTGTCGCCTAGTGGTTAGGGTTCCAGGCTTTCACTATCGTAGCCCAGGTTCAATCCCTGATCAGGGAACTGAGATCCCACAAACTATACATGGCCCCTGCAAAAAAGATAATTACTAAGAACTGCAAGATGGCAATCACAGAGCATTAGACCCCAAGCAGAGGCCCCCTTTCAGAGGGCAGGACCCTGCATGGCAGCACTGGTCACCGAGCCATGAAGCCAGCCCCGCTCAAAACTGAGCGGCAGCCGGCAGGACCGACCTCAGTGAGCAGGGGCCAGCAGACGAGGGGCAGGGGCCACAGAACATCAGGACCGGTGGGTCACTGTGAAGATTGTGAAATCTGGCCTTTGACCAGTGAGAACCCACCCAAGGGTTCCGGGCAGATGAGTGACGTTTTAAGGTCAGTCTGGTTGTGCAGTGAAGAATGGCAGTGTAGCTGACCTTGTCCAGGCAAGAGATGATGGGGACTGAACGCTGGCAGAGGCCGCAGAAACAGAGAGAAGTGGACAGATGCGAGACACGTTTAAGACATAGAATCAAAGAAACAGGAGGCAAAGTGATCAAGGAAGCGAGTCCAGAGTGGGAAGGTTTGACCAGGCAGCCACTGAAGCCACAGAGAAGGAAGACCGCAAAAGCCTGTGCCGGGGCCACCCTAGACCTGCCCCAATCCTGCGTCCCAGAATCTCAGTTTTGCGGACATTACTTGTTGGTTGCCTTGTTCTCGTATCTGGTTGAACCAGGTAGAATGAGCTGAGCTCCTCCTGGTCCTCCTAGCAAGATGGAGCCCTCCCGCCCAATCTTTCCCCGGAGACACTAGCCTGGAGGCCTCGGCTTGTCAGGGGGTGGGATGCCTTGCCTGAGCAAGCCAGGAGAGGCGACTGAGGATACCTGTCCATCCCTCGCACACTCAGCATGATGGCTCTGCCTCTTCAAACCCATGTCCAATAATGGGAACAAGTCGGGCCCACAGGAGGGCCCGGGATGAGCGGGAAAGAGAACAATGGTTCTATCTGTGACATCAGCCTGAGCCTCGGTTATCCCCATTGTGAAGAGTGGCCTTCCCGCCTGCTGGTCCCTGCCCCTTCTCTGTGGTTCTGAACAACCGCCAGGAGGCTGGGTCTGGCTGTTCTCCCAAGCAGAGGTCTGTGGTGGGGTTTCTACGTTCACTCAAATATCAGTGACAAAGAAACCTCGAGGTCTGCTTTTTGAAAACTCATGAGAAATTTCTGACAGGGGAAGAGGCACCAAGGAGAAGCAGGGATGGGAAGACAGGAGGGTTAGGGATGAAGGGAGCACCTAGTGAGAGCTGCCAGCCGTTAAGGACTAAGGAATGAGTCCTTGCAGGCTTTGCCGGTGCAGCCGCGGTCCTCGCTTGACCTAACCATCTGTCCCTTTATAACCATTGTTAAAAGCCATCATTTTCTCCCTTTCTGGTGGCAAGTTTAGTGGAAAGAAGTTCAACTAAAAGTAATGTTTTAAACCTATTAATTTGGAGTAGCCAAAAAGAAAAGGAGCCCACCAAAGATAAAAAACACCTGCCTTTGTTTCCTGTTAGTTAGGCCAAAGGAATCTCTCCCCTTCGAATTACTGAGCTTTACTCCTTGCACAAAGTGCTGTCTGGCCCCAGGGCTGTTCTCAGAGCACTCAGGACAGTTGTTTAACTGAGGACAAACAGCAAGGTGGGGTCCAAATTTTTTCTCTGCGGGCCTGTAGGAAATGAATAAGAATTCTCAGGAAAAATAAGTTTGGGAAAGCATTGGGTTCAAAGAAATAAAGCGAGTTTCTTGATCTAAGAAAGAAATGTGTTTGAGAAGCTTAAATATATGTGCAATGTGGCTCACCAAGAAAGGTTTGGAAGATGCTAATGATTTCCCACTTAATACTCATCCTGGCCCCCACTTTTCTGCTCGGATAACCTGGAGTGTTTTGGTTAAATACCTGTTTACTTTGTGGGCTCCTCCCAGTCCTGAAGGCCAGTCGGTTTGAACCATCCCCGGAGGGGCGGTGCTTGCCTTTTTAAGCAGGAGCTTGTAGTACAGCCCTGCCCACAGGCAAATCGGGCTTTTGGACTCCCAGGAAGTTGTTCCTCCCTCTCAAAGCAAAACACGAGACAGTACTTGTCTCTTCTGTCTTTTGACACTGGCGCAGGAAGAGCTTGGAACTGCTGCAGTCAGATCGGGATCTTGAGGAGAAGGCCTGGGCCACCCAGAGACACGGTTCTCCATCCCTGGTGTTATTCAGCTGTTGCTTTGTGTTTTTTCCTTCCATGTTCATGAGTGTTCTGTGTCTTTCAGCTCACAGCATCCTGAAACCAAAGGGCATGTAGACATTCTCAAATGCTTTTGACCACAGATGGTCCCTCCAACTGGTGTTTACTGAGAATGCTGTGGGCAAGGCCCCGGGGTGAGGGGTGGGGCACTGGGGGAGTCAGTAACTCCAGTTCTGCTTTGGGTTCTGAGAATTGCATGAGCTCCTGGGCCTCATTTTCAACCCTGTGAGAAGACTATACAAGTCTAGTATCTAAGATGCTGTCAGACACAGAGTAGGGGAGTCATAAATCGTCGCTGTTAATAAAATGGCGGCAGGGAGGAGTAGTCCAGTTTCAAATCTCATTTCTGCCTAAGAGTTCTAACTATTCCGAAAGTAAAGCCTGTGTTCTCTGGCCCCTGCCAGCTTATAGCATGGAGGACCTCTAGTCCTCCATGCAAGCAGGCAAAAGATTAAATAGGTACCATAGATGTCCAAGGTGAGCACCCTGGCTCTCGGGCCTGCAGTCCCTCATTCTTGCACTAAAGCAAGCCCAGGTTCCGCTGGGAGGCTCCCTGGAGGCAGCATCCTTCCTTAGTGCATGCTAATGGCTCCAGGACACTCCTCAGTGAGAACTTCTACTTGTACCAATTGCCTGCCCTGTCCTAGAAGGTCAATCTCCAGTCTAGATACTCATGAGGATGCCAAGTGATTGAGCTCCGTCTTGTCCAGGGCTCCAGTTGAGACTCAAAGCTGCAGGAGGCAGATAACTGACCCAGGCTTTTGCTCTCCTCTCTCTCTCCGTCCCTCTGGCCCATTGTGACATTCGATTTGTATGTGTGTGTTACACCTCTAGAAGAAGATTCCCAGGGTTTTCCCGCCTGTGTGTTTTTATCTGTGATGCCAGCTGAGGTCATCGCTACTACAGTGAACCCAAAAGGCTGGGGCAGATGGTCCTGCTGTTACCAAACGCACACGCATGTGACTGACGCAGAGCAAGGCCAACAAACAGTCGGAGTTTGGAGCAGAGAAAGGTTTACTGCAGGGCAAAGCAAGGAGAACAGGTGGCTTGTGATCAATGATGCCGACCTCCCTGATGGTTTCAGGGAGACTTTTTTATAGATGAAGTTTGGGGGGAGGGATGCAGGGGATGCAGGGGATGCAGGGTGTGAGACCATCCTCTGACTGGTTGGTGGTGAGATAACAGGGTGATGCTGCAGGACTCTTGTGCTTCAGCCTGAAGTTACCATCCTCCCCTGGGAGGGGGCCTTAGTTCCCGTAGAAGAACTCAGAGATATGTTGTTGTTGTTGCATACAGTTCTAGAGGAGGAACTAGAACTTTATTTTACTGCATTTTCTTCTTTTTTTTTTTTTTTTGACTGCTCTTTCTTTGTTTCTGCCTTCTCTCCTTTCCCTGATTAGCAACTGTCTGGATCTGCCCTTTGGAAGGAGGAGGTCTAGGAGGCCGAAGCCTATTTCCTACAAACAAGAAACAGGAGACACAAGGGCTTTTGTATCCGGAAGGGTCTGGCTCATTTTCCCTGCCATTGTTCTCTATCTTTGAGTTGCACATCAAATCTGGGGCTCTACCTACACTTGTTTAATGTGCCACTGAGGTTCATAAAAATGTTTCAGCTCTGTAACCAACAATGATTTCAAAATTTCCAGTGTAACCAATGCTTCATCATTGCAGAAACCAAGCAATGACTGCAGAGCATGGCCTTAAATGAACCTGGTGTTTGCCTTTCTTTTCAGCATTGTTGATGCTCTTGAGCTCATCGGCATGGACATTCATGGGTGCCGTCATGGCGGCATGGGAGGGTCGTGGGAAGACTGGGGCTTTGCTCAGTTGCATTTGGGTCAATGAACACCATGGAGAGGGAGTGACTATGAGTGTGTGTGTGTGCGCGCGCGTATGCATGCGCGCGCGTACGCATGCCCGCGTACGCATGCACACTGCACCCAGACACAGTCATAACTCTGTAGAAACACCTCTGAGTATTTAGAGGAAGGAGTGTGGTAGACCAGACAAGTATTCTTATTCATTTTTTACACACCAAAAACCACAGGTTCAGAGAGGTACACGGGCTGCCCAAGGTGACAGAAATTAGTGGTAGAGTCGCTTGTGAGAACAGACCTCTGGCTCCCAGGTATTGCAGACTGCGTGACTTTCTTCTGATTGGTTGGTGGTGAGGCAGCGCAGTGATGGTTTGGAAATTTTAATCATCAGCCTTCCATTTCCAATGAGTCTGAAGTCTACGTGCGTTTGGCCAGCATGTAGTGACCACCCTCCACTGGGATGGGGGTCTTAGTTTCTGCAAAACAAGTCAAAGATATGTGTCAGGTTGCTCTGTATACCCCTTGAGGAGGAACTAGGATTCTGTTTTATCACTGAACTGGTGTTTAAAATATCATTGCTTTTCTTGCTTGACTGCTTTTCCTTTGTTTCTGCATTCCCTCCTTCCCTAATTAGTAACTGCTTATGTCTGCTCTTTGAAACTCCAGGAAAGCCTACGAGATTATAAAGTCTTTTACTGTAAATAAAAAATGGGGAACATGGAGAGGTTTTTTATCCAGGAGGGCCCCATAGCATCCTGCTCCGTTTTGATCCCCCCTTTTCTTTGATGTTCCTCAATCCTGAGGGGAACAGGTTCAGAACAAGAAAGGGAATAAAGTTTTGAGTAGAAAAAAAAAAAGTTTTGAGAAGAGAGGTTAATCGTAAATTTAGCAGAGAAACTTGATTTTAAGGGGACTCAGTTTTTTCATTGAAGAAAGAAGTCATTCAGAGAGGACGTTCCTGGAGGCAGGCAAGATATGGCAAAGGTCAAAGAGAAGAACCGGGAAGAGCAGGGTGTGTGGGGAGAGAGTGGGTGAGGCAAGGAGGTGGCTGTGACCTCACCTAAGAAGGGGGCGGGGCGGCGCACCTAAGAAGGGCCTGGTAAAGTGAATGAGGAGCTTGGGTTCCTTCCCTGGATCCACTGTCTCAGGGTGGATCCTCTCCTATCAGAATCCCTGGACACTGAGAATGTTAAGAATGTTCATCCTCAGGCTTCACCTAGCAGATTCTGGATTGACCAGCCTTTAGAGGAGCTCAGATCTGCATTTTAAAGAAGCTCTCAAGGTGATTCATAGGCAAATCGAAGTTTGTTAATCTATGTTCGGCAATTAAAGAATTAAAGGGTTTTAGACTTTCAGATGGGATGGGTGAGAGGCGGGAACAAGATTGAATTTGCATTTCCTTTGCAGTTCCAGTGGATCTCCTGGAAACCAGAGGAGGACAGTCTGGAAGCCGGGAGGCTGGTGGTTGTACAGCCCAGAGAAGCTGAGGCTGAGGCTGTTGGACCAGAATCTTGGCACTCAGAAGGAAGAGGAGAGCGAACTCAAATATTTATCAGTGACTCATCCATGAATTACTGGTAGATCCCCAGTCTTGGGCATACAGGTGTAAGAGAGGTGATGAGTTTGATTTTAGACTGGCCAAATTTGGGGGACGTCCAGGAAGAGAAGGACATCAGGCACTTGGAGTTCAGAGCCTGAAGTTCGGTGTGAGGACCAGGTCTGGGTATGGATTTGGAAGTCAGCAGCTTGCAGTGTATTTACCATTAAACATCATGGTGGACTTCGTATTGCCAGCAACAGGCTTTTCAGACTTTCCCAGGGAAAAGGCAGTCTGAGTACTAACTTTGCCAGAAGTCAATACTGTTGTCAACAATGATGTTGATGCATTGTGTATACAGAGGGCAGACTTCCTAGAGAATCTTG